AATGTAATTAGTTAGTTGATCTTCTAATCAGATTATAATCATTGCTCATAGCTGCAAACAGAAAATTATGTCTTGCTGATATCTCAGAAGAAAGTTGCAATTTTATGATTTTGTCCACCTCCACCTACGACAAAACCTCAAAACGTCAAGTGTTGGATCTAATCTAGACAGATCTGGATAGCTGAACATCTTATGTGGAGCTGATTGAGAGGCTTACCCAAGAGATTACCCAAGCTGCAGCTCATGCAATTTATTTGAATAGAAAAATTTGCAATCTGAGCATCATCTAAGACCGTACGTTCTACCGTAAACTTCAGTCCAGGTCGTACTTTCTACCGTATTCAGGGACGCTGATTGGTTCGCAAGGGTCTGATCTGGCAAGAAGTTCAGTATCTTTTGCTAAAGAAACTATGGGCTGCGTTGGGCTTGGCTAAGACCTCCCAATCATTATCCACGCAAGTTTTCGGCATAGTTTTTCGCTTCTGCCTAGTCAGCTCCAAAAATGAGTTATTTTTGGAACTGATGTACGTTAGCAAATGATGGGCTGCAAAGGTGCAGCTGGAACATCGATTTCGGCTTTTTTTGAAGCTGAAACAACATTTGGGCATCACTTTGCCCTCGTGCAGTGTAGCAGTCGGCTTTACTGATATTATTTCTCCCCATGTGTGCATTCGCCCTGGTGATTCATTTCTGTTTCTGTAATACGAAAAAACAAAAGGCATCGCACTGCAGCTGGAAACACACGTGTAGTCTAGCGAGCGCATCCTAAAAAGAAAGTCGAACGATGGTTCTAGATGTGTAATAATGACATGCAACAAGGATATTTTTCAACATTGGGGAAAAGGACATCAAAACATTTTTGTTTCCTGCCCTTTTGCATGAAGGAAATGTCTGCATGTTTCTCAAGAGAATTTAACATACAACAGTGGAGTGTTTGTTTGCTAGTTGATACAGATGCACATCTTCCTTGAAACCTGCCATCAGAATTAGATTATGTTTCCTTGAGTTTTTTCTTAAATTTAAACTTGGGCAAAGAAGACGCTCGTCCGCGCAACTTCGCGCACGCTAATTTCTAACAGTAGAGGTCGCAGGATTTTCGTGCGAGGGGGGGGGGGGAGAGAGAGAGACAAAATAGTTTCTTGAGTGAAGGTGCGTGGCGTAGTCACAGACCGAAATTTTTTTGTAATAATTCTCAAATTTTTTGCCGGCCTTTAACCCCAGAATTTTATAAAAAGCGGACATGGAGGCAGCCACGCCCCCAAAAAATTGCTTTACACGGCTAAGTCGAATTTTTGACATCTTCAAAATTTTTGAGATTATTCACCAAGTTTAAGCGTACTTATATTACTCACATTTTTATAAGTCCTCTAAGTAATTTTTAGAATTCTCGAGACCTATTCCCCAGCACGGAGGGAAGGGGGGGGGCACCACATCCCTTTCTCCCCCCCCCCCCCCCACTGGCCCGGGGAATGAGTCTCCGGTCCGCTAATGGCGTCTAAGTAAAATCATTACCTTTTATGTATCTATTTATAGAAGGCTACTTGTTAGCTGTCTGCTTTTCCTCGTCACAATTATCGAATTTGTGCAATTGCACAGATCAAGGAAGAAAGCTACTTGACTGTATCTGCGTATAATTTTCATTTTTTCTTCGCTATTTACTTTTGGAATTCTGTGACTTAAGGAATATTCGATTGTTAAGGGGGAAGATAGAATATCACTGCGTACAAGACATTAGAAACAAACATTGCCCAATGATCCGAATACTTTTCAAAAAATTGTTTTACAACTTCACAGCACCGCAAAGTCGGGTTCGCTACAAAACACCATGGTGTGCCCTTGCGGTGCCGGCAACTCTTGCTCGTTAAAAAAGCCCAATAGCCGAAACTTCTTGCACACAATTGCCTTACATGCAAGTCTTGTTGCAATATGAACATTGCAATTTCTCGCGCAAATGTTTTCGTACCGCAAAGAATTATATAAACCTTCAAATCTAGGCACTAGGGAAGTCCATAATGGAACTCCCCCCCCCCCCCCCAACCGGCGAATACGAGAATGACGGCGACGTCACTGTGATATTCTCTAAGGGGCCGGGCATACTTCACGCGATTTCAGTCGCGAGGCGATTTGGCAATTCGCCAGAAGTCTTCGGATTCAACACTAGCAAACTGCACATGCATAGTGTGTATAACTTACGCGGAATTGATAAAATGCCCTATCTTCTGTGCATTCAATCTCTGCTTGCAGTGAGTTATGGACAGTTGGAATATTGCCAAATCGCGTCGCGCCTGAAATCGCGTGAAGTATGCCCGGCCCTTAAAAGATTAATTTATGATAACTTGCACTATTATCGATAACACAACTATCTCCACCCTCATTTTTTCTTATTTCCTTATCGGAACCTTCCTTGACACTTTTGACTTTTTTTGCTGTGTGCTGATTCATCTTTCGGATCAGTGACACAGTTCTTCATTGCTTTAGCATTCGATGTCGACGAAATTTCTGAGGAAGATTCTGTACTAGAATATTGGGCGGCTTTTCTTTAGTAATGTCGAACGGATGTGCTCTGCAGAGCTGCTGTACACTTATCAAATATGCACGATGCGCAGCCGAGACCAAAAACCCCGCTCGGTTATCGAACGTCCCCTCCAAAAGCCGAGAGTAGGATGTGCATTATTGACTTAGGCACCGGGGCTAGCCTTCATCTGACTAACGATGAGCTACACATATCAAATCCGAACTTCTGCCAATATATTAGCTTTCTTCAAGAAATTATTATCTCTAATCATGCAAAGGTCGAAAATAGATATTAAAGAAAAATTGTATATGTATTTTTTGCAAAACTGCACTGGAAAATGTACTGCTATATTTCACCAACAACTATAATCAAATTTTATCACTGTTTCAAGCATTCTCATAGAGAGAGTAAAAAATTTTCGTTCTCTTCTCAGAATGCTTTGTTCAGTAGTAGAGAGGCCTGGAAAATTCAAGTCGACCTTTTATTTTTGCAGATTTTTTTGAGATTTTTCCGAAAAAAGATGTTCAAATAGTACCTCGTAGTGTTTTTCCTTCTAAGTACCAATTCAAAGCTTTCCAAAGTGAAAACCAAAAAACGAGTAATAAGACTGATATATTGAAAGTTTAGCACGATTTTTTTACATTATATATTAAACTTGTTTTGGAGAGCAGAAATATTTTCGAGCCCAAGTGCCCAACAAAGAAAGTGAAGTGAACGAGTTTATCCCTCATGTCGTGGTACACTCTTGTCTTCTAATTTTGATTTGCTAACTTTCCAACAAGTCGCCTCCCTCTATTGGTTCAATTAGAACAATTCGTCAAGAAGGACCAAATTCGCCGAAAACTTTTCAGAAGTTCTTATCTCGATGGATTTTTATTTCATTGAACTTATTCAAAAGAGTAAGTTCTGGTTCAAAAGGGGAATTGTGTGCTTGTGACTATACTTTTGCGATTTATCTACTAAGAAGTGAAGGAGCTTAGCGTTTGTGACTGAATTCAAGATTTTCGGCCACTAACTTTGAAGAGTCAAAGCTTGCGTATTCTTTGTCAGTCTTCCATTTTTACTCCTCCCGTCTTCAAGCGGATCGCCAAGACGCTCATTTCATTATTTACTTTCTCTTACAGATTCGATATCACGCTTTAACAAACGAACAGATTTTGAATTTGGAGAAAATCTTCAGGTGAAAAAAAAAACACTCATTTGTTGCACTTTGACGTCATCGTTCGGGACTATCTTAGTGTGGTAATTGTGCTCGATGAAGCGTGTTTAGCTTCAGAGAATGTTCGTTTTTTGCCATGTTAGGCAAATCGTTTCCATGAGACAGCAGAGAATTTACTGCACTATTTTTCCCGTTATTGTGGGAAGCTTCGTAGACCATACACAGTAAAACCTGCTATCTTTACAATTAAGCAAAATGAATCTATCAGAAATTTGTGGCGGTAGTTAAGTCTAGAATTTTTGAAGTAGCACATCCTATGGACTCAAAAAGTCTCAAATTTTTTGACTGGGGAAGTTTGGCCTTCTGTGTATAATCTAACTCTGTGACGCTTCGCTCCTCCTTTTGCTGAGAATCTTCTCAATTCATTCCATTCGGAAGTGAAAGGATAGCACCACTGCAATTAAAGCATGCTCCATAGCCAACACAACTCACTTTTAGAATTTGTGCAGTTGCAGATAAGTTAGGATTTGGCGCCAAGTGTAAACTGAACAGAGTTAGCCTGCATGAGTAATCAAGCCGATTTCACTATATGTTATGAGGTTAGATCTCTTCTTCTTCATCTATAGGCGCTTTCTTTCTTGACATCTTTCTCCTCCTACTCTAGTCGATAAGAATTAAAAACACTTCTTCAGCAAACGTGAGGCCGCACTTCTTCCCAGTTTGGACATTCGATCTATAAGATCCATTTGTACATTGGTTACCGCGAAAAGCACATAAAGATCGGTAATTCTGAAGGCTGCATCTTCGTCATATTGTGTCTGAATTTGGTGGTGGTACGCAACTACAGTCTCTACATCCTTTAGGCGCCAACCATGAATTTTTGATACAAAGCTTGCGGTAGTCTCGATGAGAAACTCATTACAGGTGGTATAAGGGTGTCTTTTACATGCAGACAATATTTAGAACTTGTTCCACTAATGTTGACGAAACTTCCTCTACATGCGTTTTCGCACACAAATTCCATTGTGTAGTGTTTACCTTGCAACCCGCAAGGTATGGTAACGTCGACAGCGGTTTATTGTTGGTAATTGGCAAATAGTGTGTCTCGCTTGTTCCGTTCCTTTTTTCGAACATTTTCCACTTCAGTCGGGGGCATGTGGGCGGTTCATAAGAAACTCTTTGAACTCTGTTTTTCTCGTTCACGTTGCTAATGGAGCTATTATACTTGCCTTGGCTCAAAATCGTTCTTTCGCGTTTGCCAACATAAACGGCAGTTTCGTCTATAATTATGTTTCTGTTCGTTATCTTCACTATTGGCATCTTCAGGCAGGAGCACCGTGCAACTAACCGCCTCTGTGAGCTATGGCATGGCGCTTCCAAGCCTCCAAATTCAAGAATACCACGCCGCATATTCCTAAGAAGGAGGTCAGTTTCGATTCTTTTGATCAAACTGATTCACTAGTAAAGCGTTATTTGAGTACATTTTTTTCTTTTTCTTTGCTTGAATTGAGAGAATTTGTAGCGTTATTTCACTTCAACAAATTTTTTACACTTCTAGGTTATTCGACATGCTGAATACAATATAGCTTCCTTTTCAAGCTTTTTACACCCTATAGGTTTTGGGAAAGGTTCAAAATCTGAAATGCTGGAACTATACTTATAAGGGAAGGATACCCACATAAGCTAGCGACGAAGACGAGATGTATGTCACTGGACTCGTCTCTGAACGCTGATTTCAAGTCTTTTTTTTGCGGAACAGCTTCTCGGAAGAAGTTATGGGCGTTCGATTGTTTAAATTTGTCAAGCTTTAAAGGGGAATCTAGAAGTGGGTAATCAATATGTAATTTGTAATTTGTATTGAGTAGTGTTTGCAAGAAGAACGCAAAGCCGATGGAAATCCGCATAGGTGTTTTTAGAGCTTTTCGCTAATTTTTGAACAGTACTTGACAAATTTGGATGTTTAAATGCTTATATCTTCTTTCGGGGAGTGGTTCCGCAGAAAAGGGAAGTAGATTTGGAATCAGCGTTTAGAGACACGTCTGGTGATGCACATTTCTCCTCAATCGCCAACTTATTTGATATACTTCCTTTATCAGAGAATTTAGGAACGGTGGGTGTACGGTACGGTATCCTACTTAACCTCGCAAAAAGGTGTTGATCAACGTCTGACCATTGCTTTCTGTGTATTAGTAACATTTACTAATTAGCAACTTGGCTTGCGACGAAATCTTTAGCGCCATACTCTGCTAAAGAATCAACTACGTTTGATGAATAGTTAGATTTTGCTCACTAGTTCAGCCATTAGAATAACAATATAGGAATATAATTGTGACTCATGAATATTATGGACTGTGATTACAGTGAAAATAACGAGCTTTTGGGATCTTCATCTTGGTGTCTGGTCTTACTCTTGGTTTATACTTATGTTGTGTTCTTGTAGGACACAATTTTCGACGTTCCCATTGGTAATCTATCATGCACAAACAACGGCATCCAAGCTAGCGCTAGTTATCTAGCATTTCACGTGGAGGGTGAAGGTTTGTGTTTGAAAAAAGACTTCTCCTATCTCTCAGTGAGTTCTTATCAGTAATAAATCATATTGTTCTAGGTGGTAAACTGGGAGCCTTACCTATAAAGGCGAGAGGAAGACGGACACGAAAGGATATGTCCATTGTCTGTGCTCATGGAGGTTTGCTTAGTTTTTGCGCTTTTTTTGATTTTACCGCCCTTTTGTCTCAATAATTGCTTTTAGAGTTGATTGATGATTTCTGTTTTATGACCTTCAACGATGATTTATTAGTAACATGCAGCCGAGATGACAATGTGAGATAGTGTCTCACTTTCTGTGACTTGTTGTTGTGCATCGTTTGCTCATGCATGATTTTAGATCAAATTTTGGCGGTTATCGGGTGAAGAAGCGGTGCCTACATTTGAGTGTGAAGTGAGCGTTGGTCAGCATGTACTTCTGGATTCACTGAAACCACATCCAACAGCTGCGAATATAATTGCTGCTGCTTCTCTTGGAGACGCTTATATAGTTGATGTCGAGCAAAAGGCATCTGTCATCCGTGAGTTTTGCTTACAAATACTTTTTTAAGGCTAGAGTTTTGCTATTTTATCCGTGTACTATCTTATTTGTGACTTACTATTCGAATTTTTGGATGTCATCTGGACTATGCCTGGTAATTTTTTGCCAGCTGGCCTGATGCGTTTGCAAACAGCTGATCTTAGAGGCAGGAAAGAGCTGTTTTCTGTATAGTAGAGTGGAGGAGTTGTAGGGTCGGTTCACTACTCCCCACAAAGCAACTAAAATCAAAACTTTTCTCCTTGATAATGCCACAAATTTCATATAACCAAAATTTCAGTTATCAAAGCATTGCAGATAATCATAAATACTTTTCAGCGCTCACTGGTTATGAAGACAAAGGACAGTCTATGGACTGGAGTGATGATGGCAAACTCTTAGCAATCAGTGCCGATAAAGGACGGCAGGTTAGTGAATTGCATTTTTCCCAATCTGATATTTCGAGTCTTTTGGTAATTCAGGTATATGTTTACGATGTCCGAAGTGGCTCTTCGCCGATACACACCATGGCCACACATCAAGGAATGGGACGCGAATCGCGGGTACTTTTCTGTGGTGATCGCCTCCTTTCTAGTGGTTTTACGAATGTGAGTAAGCATTGTTCATTTCTGTCTAGTCCCCTCTTCCTTCTAGAAAAATTTCTGTTAAATCTCGTTCTTCAGAAAAGAATCCAAGAAGTGCATGTAGTCGACGTTGGAAATTGGGACAAGCCTATCCATAAACAGGAGTATGTATCTACTACGGGAGTGCTGATGCCGTTCTATGACAGAGATACTAAGCTAGTATTTCTCGTCGGAAAAGGAACTAACAAGCTGTTTTTGGCTGAATTCCAGTCAAAGATGCCATTTTTATCGCCAGGTAATTTTTTTTGCGCTTATATTGATTCGGACGTTTATCTTTTCTTCAACCGCTTCTACCGTTTCCAGTCTATGAAATGGCAATGGCGGAGCAGAATCTCGGTGCTTGTATGGGCAGTAAACATAATCTAAATGTTATGGGCGGTGAAGTGGATACCTTCTATCAACTTACAAAACATAGCATACTGCCAGTCCCTTGCATAGTACCTCGAAGGGTAAGCGATTAAACTTGTTTTGCTTCCAGGAAGTTTGTTTCGTTTTCAAAGCCAATATCGCTCAAAAAGTCAAAGTATTTTGCTTGCACCAGTTTTCGATTCTTGTGATTTGTTTTATCTTTTCATCCTGTGTGTTATTTACTCAAGTTTATCTTTATCTTTAACTTTCAGTCTTATCGCGATTTTCATCCCGATCTTTATCCTGACACGCGGGGCAAGGATGCTGGGTGCTCATCTTCGGAATGGCTTGAGGGTTCTAATGCTCTTGTAAGTGCTTTTGTTTGCAGTAAATAATAATGTAATATAATGACTATGTTTGAACACTGCCTTCTTAGGCTGTAAATCAAACATCTTTTTTTATCGTGCGTGGATTGGATCACAGTAGCAAATCCATTTGATCAGGTCTGGTAATTCCTAGGAATTTTATAGCCTCCTATGGTGTCTCTTGCTCCGACTGGTACTTCGAGTGTTACGCCAGCAACCCAAACGAACCCAGTGCTACCCACGTCTCCTGTTTCACCTCGTCCTCGACCACGTGCAACAATAGCAGTTGTACCTCCTGTGCAGGAAGTAGCCCCTGCAGCTACCAGGAATCCGTCCGCTATACAAAAGGCAAATTCTTTTTCACACACAACTAACACTTGGGCTACCCGCCGAACCTTTACTAACCATGTATGTGCTACGCAAACGCTACTTTTCGGTATTTTTAAGTTAATTACTTTTAGCCTTCTCTTGAAGTGAATGGTTTCAAAGATGATGTTAAGGAGCTCGTTTACTCATTGCCCGATGTTGCTGAGAAAGAGAACGAGGTAAAGGATCAAGTGAATTCCAATGTGTATAGTGCGTAGCTTACTATTGGAACTAAGACTAGTTTGGAGTCTCCAGATATCAATTGTTATCTAAAATACCTTTTTTGATCATGAGAGGCAGAATTCCTTGCTCTGTCCTCCAGGATGGACATCTCAGCTATCATTTTCAGAAAGCAAGCACTCATCATGAAGCTGGCGAAGTTGGTGAAGAATATCACAAGGGGGAACGGCATGCGGAGCATCATAAACCTGCACCAATTCCCGAACCACCTATCCGAATCCGACAAATAAACAATAGTGGTTTGTCTGGCATGTTCTTGGGAAGAAAAATGGAAGTTTTGTTTTAGTGGTCCCTCCACGTACGATCTCAGCTCGAGTTCGGCCCAAGTCATGCGTTGTGGGACAGTTAGCATCCAAATTTCGCCACGTGGAAACGCTAGTAGGACCGAAAGCAAATAATGCTGTTTTCTCCAACCTCCGGAATGTGAATACGCAACTGCCGCCGGAAGCGAATGGTGCATGTGCTAGTGGACAGGTAATGTTTTCTCTATTTTCTTGTTTCCTTTTGTTTTCGTAAGTTTTTCTATTCAGTGCTGAAGAAAGTTTTTGATTTACTGCAGTTTTGTTTAACGGTCACTTCCAAAAATAGGCATTTTGTTAGAGGTTATGTGCACTTATAGTTTATTTTTGTTTTACTTCCTAAATTCTTCTAACGCGAATTCTACTAAAAACATCTACATCTACAGGTTTCTTTCCCATTATACCATGTTGCCGTTCCTATGACGACATACTTGGTGCCGCGGGTAATTTACATCAGATTTCAAATAACTTATTTAGTTCGTCGCGGTTCCCTTAAAAGGACCTGCTGGTGTGGTAGGAATTTACGACGTGGACACGCCATGTAAGATCCCTGACGGAGTCATGGACGGAATTTTCAACAAAGCTCTGGTGAGTGATTCTTGAGCAGACTGAAATCTGGCAGTAGCAATGCTTTTGTAGGTGACAGATCTACACTGGAATCCTTTTGACGATGAAGAGTTGGCAGTCGGTTTGGATATTGGATCGATAAACTTTTGGCGGCTTACCACCTCCGACGGACCTAGAAATGAGATGGAGCCAGAGAAAGTCATGAATCTGGGAGGCGAAAAGGTATTTGTAATATTTGCAGTGCAAAGCTGTGATTCAGATTTTCTTCTTTTTAGGTGATTTGCTTCCAATGGCATCCTCTTGCTGCTGATTTGATGGCCATCGCTTTGTCAGATTCATCCATTGAGATCTGGGAATGTAAAACAATAACGAAGAAAGCTAGGTAGTCCCATATATTTGAAGTTGTAGATGAATCAAGTTTGTATATTGAAGGATAGTATCACATTCCACTCCTGTGTTGGCACTGGCATGGAGCTCTGATGGTCATCGGCTCGTCTCTGTCGGAAAAGACCTCATGTTGAATGTTCACCAGCCGCAGCTTGGCAGCGATTGTCTCATAGCTCAGAAGAAGGTATCAGGCTTTATCCGTTTTGCGCAAGGAATATATAAAAGCATATCACTTCAAGGTACTTGACCGTGGGCATGCGGCTCGCGTTCTCTATGCCTGCGACGACCGACTGATTGTCGTTATAAGTATGACGAGGAGTTCAGCACGGCAGGTGTGTTACATTTTTGAGTTTTGCTGGATTACTGAGCTTTTCCTGGTTAGCTTTGCTTATATGCGTATAACATTTCTGGGGTGTATGTCAAGAGGCGCGATTTTTATTGCCAGCTGGACACCAAATGGCACGTAATAAGTGTTCTGCAACTTTCTAAAAGTATATGAAATTTGGTAAAAGATGTATTAGATAGTTGCATGAGCTGTTCAATCTTGATACTTTAGAAAAAATTCAAAATAGCAATTTTAAAGGTCAAAAACTCATGAAAATACATTTCAGAACAAATTCGTATATATTTCATTCCGATTTATAGCAAAAACTATGAAAATCAGCAAGTGGTGACCTCAGGCAGACAGTAAGCTAATGCAATTTATCTGGTAATTTTTGTAGACTCGCATAGCACTAAAATGGAGTTTTAAGTTGGTGACAGCCAGAGAAATCGCGCCTCTTGACCGTCTCCCACATTTCTGTACTATAGCGGGCTTTTCCAATGTTGCTAAATATTTGAATGATGATATTCTCATCTTCTTTCTGTCAAAGTGGCTTTAAAAACATATTCTATCTCTCTCCTAGTGCTCTAAGTCTCATCTCGTTTCTAGTTGTTTCAAGATTAACTCACCTTAGCTTTCCAAATACTATGATTATATAAATCATCCGGATGTCCGCCTCTATACTTCACTTTTAGGTCCAACTATATGATGCTACCTCGTTAAATGAGATCTACACGCAACAAATTGATACCGGTACGCAACCGCTGGTTCCATATTATGATTACGACTCATCTGTTCTGTTTCTGAGCGCTAAGGTGAGGTCTCTCGCATAATGGTCTCCATGATTTCTGATCTCTACACTTTAGGGGAGCCGCATTATAAATATGTTCGAAATCAGTTATGATTCTCCATATCTTCTTCCATTGACACCTTATATGGCTCCAGTCATCGGCCAAGCCATTGCATATCACAACAAACGGCGGTAGGTCTTTTTAGGATATATAGCTTTCTTTTGTTTTTTTTTTTCGTTGTCAGTGGATATTATGAGTTTCACTTTTTATAAACTACTCCATGTCATTTTGGCTATAAAAACTAATTTTTATAGGTGCAATGTTATGGCTGTCGAATTCCAGCGCGCATGGAGGCTAACCGAAAAGTCGCTGGAACAGTTGATATTCCGGGTTCCTCGGGTCAAGGTTAGTGTTCCGTCTACTACCTGACAAGGGAATGGTCAAAAGTCGAAGTGGCCAAACCAAACAAGCTGTACACCATTCGATGCAGCATCAAACGCTGACTTCGAATCTGTCTTCCTTATCTGCTTACCGCTTTTGTGGACGAAGCTATAAGTAGTTTTATTGCGAAAAAAACCTGCGTAAAAACTGCGAAATTGAGCACATTATACCCCTCTTAGCTCATCTTTAGGTATGGGCTGTACGAAGCAACCTAGCCGCATTTGTCGGCCCAGAATTAATCAGAACATGGCAGTGTACGGCCAAATTTTCACTTTCGCGCACAATTTCTGAACAAAACAATGGTTTTTAATGGCTTATAACTTCGTCCGAAAGGCGATAAGCACATAAGGAAGACAGATATATAGTCAGCGTTTCATGCTGCATCGAATGGTTTACAGCTTATTTGGTTCGGCCACTTCGACTTCTGACCATCTTCTTGTGAGTTCGAAATGGCTCCAAAATATTTTCTATCCAAAGGCTCAATACTATTCGATTTTAGAAGGATGTATTTCAAACTGATCTCTTCCCTGATGCTCTTGTAACTTGGCGACCTGTCATGTCAGCAGAAGAATGGCTGGCAGGCAGTCAAAAGACTCCGGAATTTGAAAGTCTAAAGCCAGAAGGAGTCGCTAGCTTAGGTACGTTTTCCTCTATATATCATGATAATGCTTCTTCTTTTTCTCAACATTGTTCATTTGCTCAGATTTTCAGCCCCTCCGAGTGACTCTGCGCCTTTGAAGCCTGCTCGTTTTTCTGCCATACCTGAAATACATGATAATCATCTTATCAAGACCGAGCAACCAGATAAACAAGAGGTTGGTTTAGTTCATATCATGGTCAGCCTTATTACAATTTTCTTTTTTGAATTTTTTCCAATTTTTTGACCGCACTTTTCAACAAACCTGCTGCAGGTGCAACTTAGCTGGTCAGCCAAAATTCCCAAAGACACATCGTTAGAACAGGATCATATGGAAGGCGTTGCCGAGGAAGAGTGGACAGAGTTCTGAGCCAGAATTCTCAGCACTCAGTAGTTTTTGTGCGGGCTTTTTTCTTGCTTTGTGTGGTGATCTAATAAGCGTGTTCATTAGTGTTGATACTTCGTGCAGTGTATCCGTTCACCGGTCTCAAGAATAGATTATTCAAAAGCCGTTAGTCGTTGTAATCAAAAAACTGGAGCTATTCATTATCTCTAGTCGAGTTATGCTTTTCATTGCTCAAGATTTGCCACCGTTTCCTAATAATTCGCAGTTGTTGCCAATGAGTGCTTTATCTTTCTTGGCGAGTCATCCTAGTAGTATGAACAGTCTTATATAGCAATTCATCTATATGCTTGTTTTTTGATCTTGATATACACCTCAAAGTTGTTGACCTGTTCTCTTTTCCAAACATTTCTCTTAATCGATTCACTTTCCAGTTCCATTCCATTCTCAATAGTTCTTTCTAGCATTGATTCAGTTTTCGAGAATAATGCCTGATTCGTTTGTAGTACATCTTTTTCGCTTGTAATTATATGACGCTGGTAGATTTGATTAACGACATAAGGACGATTACGACCGTATTGGTCATTGAACAAACCAAATAAAGAGCTTAATTGTTGTGACACCAAGTCGACAAAGACGTCTACACGTTTTACCTTTCTCCGCTATATGTGAAAACACATTGGTGAGCTTCATTTACGTGAAAAAGACATCTTTGATTGTATAGAATTTGTGTATAGCCCAACCACTACCAAGAGCACTTTGTCACTTGTGTAGAACCGGTCAATAATCCCAAACGATTTTTTTATCACCCATTTCGTACCACTGCAAAGCTGCAAAAATGAAAAAAAGGCTCTCAAAAGCGTTTGCACCTTCTTTAGAAGGATTTCAATGATTCACATTCCGTATTGTAGTACTGTGGGGTGGGATAATAAATCTTACAGTCATAGTGTATAAAAAAATAATGGATTTGCGTTTTTCTTGCAGATCTTTGCCATCATAGTTTTGAGAATTTTTATTTATAAATTTTTTAAATTTTTCAATGAACACGTTCGTAATGGAAGCTCTTTTTGACACAATTCAGTAACATTTATGTTGAGAAAAGTTTTTTGGATTCAGAGCCGATCGGGACTTTCATACAACAAACACTATTGGGTATAATAAATGCGGTTTTATAGTGGTAATAGTCTGATTAATCTTTAATAACTCTCTTGTTTCAATCTGTTTTGCAAGTTTTTACGTACCATTCTGTAGAGCCTGCCTCAATTTTGATTTACAGTAGAGCGAATTACGATCGCTTTTACCACTGTAGGTTCACAGTAAGAATTTTCGACGCTCAGTGCCACTGTGAAATAGGCCGGTTGATAGAAAATTTCCAAAAAAAAATCTGGAGAATTGTGTGGCAGGATTTTGGGGCATCTGATTTTATTGGACAACTTTTTATAGACTTTCTGAGTTTTTTGGTGGTGTAATCATATTGTTGGAAAACGCTGGGAAAGCATTTGTCCCATCTGTTTGAATAACTTACGGAAGAAGCACGTATGTAAGCTGCAACTTTCTCTGAAATCACCTGTTTATACTAGCTTAGTGTAAGGTTTTTGACTTGTCTCGTTTCCATTCTGAGGGACTTTTAATGGATTAAACCCTTCTCAGTTCCTACCGTAACTCTACACTAACAAAGAGAGATCGGAGATTTGCTTCATATTTGAATCTAAATTGAAACCAGCTTACAAAATGGTACCTGAGGATGGTTAAATGGCCTTGAAACAAGGGAGTTATTAACAATCAAACAGTCTGCACGTTTTTTGGGATACCCTGTAGCTCCACTGAGACATCATAAGTTGCGCAGACAATAACTAAAATCAGTGAAAGCAATCTGTAGAATTGTATGCATATATTCATTTGCTGTAATTCTACCTTCTGCATCTTATCGCTTTTCGCTCTCAATGAGATTTGGGGATTCAACAGTTGACAAATTTTCAATGATAGGGTTCAAAATTGCAAAACAAAGGAGAAGAGCTGCCACCGTGGTCAATTAAAAATGCTTTTGTCATATTTTTCCTCTTGTGTAAAAGATGAAGTACTCATGGTCAGAAACAGGCGACATAGCCTACAATTTCTTCTCATAAGCTTTTCGAAACGAGCACAGAAGAACACAGAATGATTAAACTTATTACCAAAGTATAGTAAAACAAGGTTTAGTCTTGAATGAATTGTTGCAGTTTTTCTTCGGGAACGACTTTGTTCTAACTATAAGCACTATCTCTTAAAATAGCATCCAAGTCGTCCTCAATGTGTCTTACCTATCTTACCCATCTGGCGAGTCATCTTTTGTTCGTCAAATTCTGTTATAGCTTTTAGTCACAGACGTAATGTGAGATGTTTGATGTGTTTGTCGGTGAATTACTGAACTTTTTAATCCAAAGAAAGCGCATCTATTCAAAAAGAAACGCATGAAGGCGCACAAACGCTCAACCACATTGAAGCAAATTAATCAACTCTAACCTTCACTTTTGAATAGTTCAAAAATAAGAATTACTCGTAAGTTTATCTTTGAAATTCTGAAGCGTTCTGGAAAAAAAGCTAGAATGTGAGCTAAAGTATTTATCTTTTCGGTTTTTGAAATCGCTTGACGAAGAATTAAGAAGAGATGCATACGGTGAGAAAAGCGAATCTCGAACGAGCTTAGTAGACTCACATCAAAACAAAATGTATGTAGCAGCTTGCCTTTGAATCGGCTTTCCAAAATTTTCAGGGTTTGAGTCTGTGATCCTGGAATTTTCGTTGACTGAAGTTCAAAGTTTCAGAGGTTTTGGGTTTTCAAAAAAAATTGCTACTTTGTTTTCCACAATTCGCCTTGCACACTTGAATAGTCAGCCATGTTCGTTTTTTACCAAGTTCGTTGATGAAAGTTAATTAGCCTGTGTAACTGGCCTCACAAGTCGTTCACTATATGATAAAGTCTATAAATGATATGATAGTAGAACGGTTAAAACCTGGACTGTAGCTTTCATTAGGTTGGAAGGAAAACAATGTCATTTTTCGTAGCAAAGTAAAAAGGTTAATCCAAAATACATGTATGGAGTACCATTCGATTGAGCAAAGGAAGCTTTACAAAAGGACTTTTGAACACAAGCAGAAATCCTGTCTTACGCAAAGTTCGGAGCCAAAACATGAGAAACATAGATAACAAATACACGCTCGTGCTGCCCAAAATCGGATTTTCGCTCCAAAAAATCTCACAAACCTCTCACTTGCTTCTGCATTTAACACACACATGCACTTATCCTTGAATACACTTGCTATAATTTTTCATGCTTAGAATCAAAGAAAAAATTCGAAAAACGGCATTGGCAAACTTCGCCACCAGTACCCCTGTTGTCTTCACATGTATAGGAGATTCGAAAAATCGTGACGATGGCGCGACCGCGCGCGACACGCACGCATACCCAGCAACCGCTATTTTCTTGGCCTTCATCTCTACTCGAATGGTTCTCTTGCATACATATGATAGCATTTAGACACTGGAAGTGACTGAGCTGAGAGTTGAGATAATGCCTTTTTGTATGAGAGTTTTTTGCTCCTGTGGGCGCAAAGACCGTAGTCGAATCCGTCGTCACGATTTTATAAATGACCTATATGTCCTTGTGTACCAACTTCAACCATCAATTTGTAGTCTTTATGCCTCAGTTTTTGAAAAATATTCATTTTAGCTGAAAACCCCGAAAAAAGCGATATTCTTTTCTTTCCAACCTAATATAGTATATTGAAAAAAGATTTTTTAGGATGGGCATCATCCAGCGATTACCGGAAGATGTTGTGAATCGAATAGCTGCTGGCGAGGTTAGCTTTAACATTTTTTCTGTAGAAAGTCACAATAGTCGTAGACTTGTTTATTCAGAACAAATAAATCTTTCTAATAATGAGAAGTGCAACTGGAATGTTCATGTCTCAAATAGAAAAATTTAGGTGGTCGTGAGACCTGCGAATGCGGTAAAAGAGTTGATTGAGAACAGTCTGGATGCCGGAGCCACAGAAATAACCGTCACAGTCAAAGAAGGTGGATTGGGACTTTTGCAAGTACAGGTATCAATGATGTCATTCTTGCCAATCTACTTATACTCTTTGACTTCAGGACAACGGCAAAGGAATCCACAAAGATGATTTGGACATTGTCTGCGAGAGATTTACTACATCCAAGTTGCACAAATTTGAGGACTTGCAGTCCATGCAGACCTACGGCTTTCGAGGCGAAGCTTTATCGTCCATAAGTCATGTCGCAAAGGTAAGCTGTATACAATGTGGTAATAGCATGTTTTACCATGTTTCCCGCTCAAAGTGAGTTTGTGCTTTAAAGTAGTTTGAACGTCTGGCGATAAATTGGAAAGAGAATTTTTACAAAAAGAAGTTTACAAAAACATATGTCTACTCAGAATGCTGATTTTGCCTTATCCTTTTAATATGAACTGAGACAATCATCGACAGTCTTGAAATGCGAAGGTGGGATTACTCAGAATTGTCCAAGTCCTTTCGAGGTGTCACTTCTTTTCACTCCGAATTTCGCGAGAAAATATGTTTATTGAGAGTCTTTCATCTAAAGGTCCCTTTATTTTTACATTAGCAAGAAAAATACAGCCTTTTTCTACACATCTTTTTTAGGTAACGATAACTTCGAAACCAGCCGACCAACAATGCGCATACCAAGCAAAATATATAGGTAGCATGATGTTCTTGGACTCTTCTTCTTCGGAAAGCGATCTTTTCAGATGGAAAGCCGGAATCCATAAAGGCATCGGCAGGCTTGAATGGGACTTGTATAGCTGCCGAAGATCTCTTTTATAATTGTCCGAACAGGTGTCTCCGCGTCCTCTGTGGTTGTGAAAATGATTGAGTAAAATTTGTTTCAGGAGGAAAGCTTTTCGAAACTACGCTGACGAGGCTAATCGAATAGCTGATGTTGTTATGCGATATGCTGTTCATCGACCGTATGTTCAAGCTGATTGTTTTGTTTGTTGCAAAGAAGGAAGGCATGAGATGACCGAATCATAGCTTGCATGGCGCGCAAACCTCAAGACGCTCCTTCAGTAATTTATCCATGATATTTAGAGATATATCGTTTGCCATGCGACGTGGTGGCACTGGAGCCGATTTTCGGACAAGTGGACGATGTTCAAGAGCTGAAATCATATGTTCCTTATTGGGGAAGGAATGTGGTGAGGTAGGAACTCGTTTCGTGAAACAAAATCGGCTGTCGCGTTAGTGCATAATCAAGAATACATTACTGAGTGAGGGTCACCTTCTGCCTCTTATTGTGAGAAGGATACTTCTTTACCGCGGCAATTCATGATGAAATGTATATTGAAAAATTGCGCCTTTGAATGCTTCGAAACTCTCTTACATACTTGCGAAATGCCAATCTGAATGGGATTATGATCATTTTTTTAGGAAAAAGTGTATTACCGCGGAGGGTCAAAATCATCAATATAGGCGATTCAAATCACGCAAAGACTGCGGACCTATCGTCGTCTCTCTGATCGAGCGCTCTTTTGCTTCTCTTACCGTCTGCTGTCTCTCCCATGCACGAACTATCTTAGCAGGACGCAACTGCGACCAGTCTTTACGTGTAATGAATCGTGTATACAAAATTTTCTTACTAACTGCTAAATATGAATTTGTTAGTGTCAATACTCACAATACTTTCTCTAAGATTTTCTTTGTTGGCATTAAATGGTAAACTAGACCAGCACTGGTGATTTTAGCTATCAGAGTACGCAGATTTTCTTACAAAAAACGTTCATAAATTGTTTCAAAAGATCATTTCGCAAGTAGCGAGGGCAGATTTAAAATTAGCGTTTCGAGGTCCATCTTAAGTTATACATCGCGTTTCGATTGGCCACGGTAACCGAATATGCCTTCTTTGTCAGCCTCTTAGATGAAACTTGATTGGAGTTTGACCATCACCAAAACGGCTGCTTATAGAGTCAATTTATGGTTAAGAGATTCAATAGACTTTCGCTCAGATCTGCTAGTTCCGGGCAGACCAGCATCTTCGAGTACGGTAGGAAATACAGTCTCTGGGATTTTGATTTAGAATCCCTGGGCTAATAATGTTAGAAGTTGCGGCTAAGCAATGGCTTGGTCAAAGCCTTTCCAGTACCTACATGAGAAATTAAATTATTGGACACTGCGCACTGCCTAGAATACGACTTTTCCAAACTTAAGTTTACATACTGCCATCGTTATGCGATAATGTAATTGCATAGGCAGTTTGTTTGCTAAAAAGGCATTTCTTTTGCAGAATATGATCGACTTCGGTCATGTTTCGCAGCGGCTACACTACAGCTGCGATGTGTGCATGACTCCACCAGTATCCTCTGTCACTGCCCGAAGCGTTCAGGCTAAGAAGGTTTTGTCACTTGAGCACTCTCCTTCACAAAACCCTTTTGTATTCATTCAAGAATTATTCAGAAGCGCCACAAGTCGTTCTTTATCTTTATCAATGGCCGCCTCGTTCATTGCCAACCACTCAAATATGCTGTAGACACGTTACTCAGTGACCGTGATTTAGTCTGCCCTTTTGCGCTGATCTCTCTGAAAGTGAGTCTAGAATTCATGAGCATGGAAAGGCTGACTATGGTATTATTTTAGATTGATCCTGCAAGAGTTGACGTGAATGTACATCCAACTAAACAGACAGTTGTGTTTCTTGAAGAAGAAGCAATCATTGAAGATTTGCAGGAGGTAGTTTTCTAAATTTACTAGATGCTGGGATTTGTAACTACCAGGAAATTCATATGTTTGCAGGAAATCAAACGCAAGTTAGAGAACATTTTTGGCAAAGAAATTGCACCTCGAAGTTTGAGCAAGAAGCACCAACTGCTGACACCGACTCAGATTTCGAGAATTCCTGGGCAAACTCAGGGACCAAGTGTGGGTTTTTTTTACTAGTAAATGTACAGTAAAATTGAGTGTCTCATGTGTATTTGCACTGTATGCACATCGCGCGTTAAATACTGGATCTTGCTGCCCATAGGAGGCATAGTTGGAAGACATCAATAATTTTGTTCTCGAAGCTAAAGTATGAAGTATGCTTTCTTAAAAAAATGAAACATCTAGCTGAGAGAATTGGCTTCTGCGTGGCCATCAAGGTCCTGGATTTGACGCGCAATCTACATATTGTGTGCAATCGTACTTAGGAGGTCGCAAATTGATCGATAGTGATCAGCTGTGGATAAAAGTTTTTTTTGATCGCAAATTATATGGATTCAATGTGATTTAGTCCCTCGCCATGTTGGGCAACGACTCCGACTGTGTTATGGAAGAGGTGCAAAGCCCTAGTGCGCCAAAAAAACAAGCTGACTATACAGTAAGTCTAGCCGATATTGTCTGCAAGCCAATATGATAGAGAACTCTCCAACTGGGACCCACCTTCCAATTACAGTTAGTTCGAGTTGACAAGAAGGAAAGACGGCTGGATGAATTTATGTCAACAACGAAGTCGGCTCAACCATCCACATCGGTCGAGGTGGTGCAGGTTGCAGGAAGCCAACAGGAGGATAGTGTGCAGAATGAAACTGTCGGTTGCACTTCATAATCGATAATATCAACCATAAACTTTTCTCGCTATTCTCTTTTTGCAGGTGAACGGTAAGCCTCGACGTGTGTTCAAGTTTGAATCTCTCAGTAACTTACGAAGAAAAATTTGTGATAGCGCCTCACAGCCACTGAGGTTATTTTTTCAATTTCTTAAGAATTCATGCAGTTACGATCTAACGTTGATAAAAATGCTTTTTTTTTCGTAAATTTTGCGTTTTGGAAGCGTTGACTTTATAAAAAAAAACTAACTTTGATGGCTAATTGGTTGGGTGAACGCTGCGGTTGAAAGTATAATATATCCGAATTGTATGTGTACTTTAATGCTGCCCCTGCCCGGTGCGAATTTAGAAAAAAATATTGTGCTCTTGTTCTGATGGAGTAGCGTTTGTAATTATACAATTTGGCTTCATTCTGTCTTGAAGCTGAAATCAAATACGCCTTTAAACGATTTTTGCGCTCATTGATGGCACAAGTGATACCATCGTTTAGAGATTTCATTGTTTTTGACTTCACTGAATTTCAGGCTGCGTAACCTAGATGGAATCATTTTTTCGAATTTTTTAAAGTCCGAATTAAATTTAATATTTCAGAGAACTCTTCAAGAGTCTGACTTATGTCGGATGCGTATCGACAAAGGCTATGCTCTTGCAATTTGGAACAAGCCTTTATGTCATTGATCTAGAAAGAGTATTGAGGGAGCTGTTTTATCAGGTAATTTGGTTTATGCAAAAAAAAAATGGCTAACTTGCTCTCGACCACACCAAAATTAAAGGGCGGTTTTTGATTATTGGTCCTGACTTTCTGCAGAACACATTTTACTTGTTCCTGCGTAAACGGGGAAGCTTCAGACACATCTTTCAAGATCGCAATCAAGTTATACTATTTCAGACGTTGATATTTTCGTTTGGAAACTTCGGGTCCTTTAAGTTGGGAGAAGAAGGGGCTAACATAGCCGAACTACTGGAACTAGCTGGTTTGGAAAGAGAAAGTCTGAGTGAGTGATTTATTGCTTGATTCGTATAGACTAATTCAAGCACTTTGTAGATGGAGCCTTGCAACTTCTGGAGGAGCAAGCTGCTATGTTGAATGACTACTTTTCTCTGCAAATAGCTCGACCACTAGGTACACAATCGGGTGATGAAGGGTTGAGAGAACTGACATTGCTTACCGTCCCTTCTGTCATCGATGGCTATATGCCACAAATGGAAGGATTACCGGCATTGATGTTGGCACTTGTAAAAAACGTAAATTGGGAAGAGGTAGGAGTTCATTGCTGTTGTTGAATATGCTCGTTTTATCAGATCGTAGCATGGGCATTTGTAAAAGAATTTCATAAAGTTTTTGAGTTCTCCATTTTCAAATGACTTGGAAGATTGTAACTATTGACGTATACCGTACATAAAACTCGAATAATTTTTTCAAAATTTTCACGAAATATTTGTATGAAATTTTGACCTTGCGTTATCGGAGGGTTTGAGCTTCCGGCTACCTGCATTTCAGCACTAAGGCATCTGTAGATCCATCAAAAATCTGAGAAGATGGAAAAGAAAATTGAGCAATTCTTCGAAAGATAGGGAAAAATTAGAGACTGAAGTGCCATTTCAAAATCGACTTTAAGTTTACTGTAATCATGCCTGTGAAGATAGAGTCCCTTTCTCATGTATGTCAAATAATGAAATGTATAATTCTCTAGACTTTTCCAGAAGAATACGAAAAAATTACAAGTTTTCTATTACGACCTAATATGTGTTATGCAGGAAGAAGCATGTTTTCATGATGTTAGTCGTGCACTTGCTGAATTTTTTGTTATGAAGGAAGAATTTTGCCAGGACGAAGCTTTGTCAGGTGTCTACAAATATTATCTGTCGCTTTTACTGGCTTGCTCAATGGATATAATCGTCTAGGTTTGGAAGGAGGCAAAGTGTCATGGATATCCCTCGTCCGAGATGTGCTTATTCCACGGGTAAAATCACATCTGGTGCCTTCAGATACTCTCAGGGATGGTATCAAGCGCCTGGCTGACTTGCACGATCTCTACAAAGTGTTTGAGCGTTGTTGATACATACGTTTGGAAAGTCTTATAATCTGCCTATATTGTCATATGAGCGTCTGTTGAATATTCTTCATTATCGGGTCAAATTTTTATTCTGAGTTCCTTTAGTGAAAGTTTACGTCTATGTATCAAATTACAGCACTTTATACTCTCTAGTTGCCCTAGCGAAATGTTTATGGACATACGATACTACTCAAGTGCATCAACAAATTTTTCATACATGTTTATATGCTTGCAACACTGATTTTCTCATTGATGGTAATTATCTTTTCTAAGTGACTTTACTTCAAACAAAAATTGCTGCTCATAAAGGTTGAAACAGTTTTGTGACGTTTTCACCGAAGGTCAAGTGAAATTTTTGGAGCTTTTTCTACGTCTTATCGTTAAACGGCCCAGTAAATCACACATTTTTCGAACTCTACGTGAACGAAGCTTTTCACGCAGAATCAGCTTTTCTGAAATATTAACAAGCATTTGAGGAGCATGAAATGTCACTCTATGACTTCTTTCATTACATATCATATATAGTATAAAGGTCATTTTTCGGCAGCTGCTAGTTTAAGTTTTTTTTTCGCCCTCTTAAAGGCACCGCCCAACCTAAGTTGAGGGTGCTGAGCTTTTGGCAGCATATAATAGTAGGGCCCCCTATCAATCCAATGCCCAAGTCGCGGCGCAAAATGCCGCTTCAAAAGCAAGAAAATCGCTTCGGAATAGCGAAGATGCACGAGGACCCCCATCCATGCCCGCCCGCCCTCCCCCATCCATGCCCGCCCATTTTTGCGCGGCCATCCAATCACCGTTCCGGAAAGCCGGCCTGTGGGTTTCCCGGAACGGAGATTGTCGGGGTTTGCGCATTCTCGACTCCATAATCGGAATCAGGAACATGAGAAGGCCCTGAAACGACAAAAACGTGGAAGTCGAAAATCTGGGTGGACGGTGCCTTTAAGATGAGACATTTCATTGTTTTTTACGTGATTTTGAAATATTTTGTGTGAACATCCTTCACCATTTTGCGCATTTTGTTCATTTGCAAACAAGGGGATTCAAGTTTCTCAAACTCATGTACGCAATCCAGTCAATTTCCTTCTTATGTTAGATTTTCAGTTTACCCATATTTGTGAAAAAATAACTTTGGCATTTTCCATAGTTTTATCTTCAGTATATCCTACAGTATTGCAAGTGTTTTTATTTACATCTGCTTGTAATGCAAAAAAAACGAGAAAAGAACCTAGTTAGCATTCACACAAATTTTCAAGTACTTGAGTAGCCATCTGGGCACAATCATACGGGTTTTACTAGTCTTATGTCAATTGAGAAAATAATTTATTATTCTTGCCATTAAATGAGCAATCTTGTATTATAGTACAGGATAACAAATCAAAGCACCAATATGCAAGTTAGCATAATTCTTATACATGTTCTAACTATACAATTGAATAGATTACAAGCTCTTTGATTATTGCCCAATGCCAATTCCTTTTCAAAGGAATATTACACGTTTTGATATATGATACCCTAAAATCCCATAGATAAGAGCGGTTTAATTTACCGGTGAAAAATGAACTGGAATGAATTGAAATTAAATGCAGTCACCCCTTTAACTTGATGGATGGATAAATAAAAATCGGAGAAGAGGTTTAGAAGAGGCTCCGCCCCTCAACTCTAAACCCAGCCCACTTAATAAACAGTTCGTATAGAAATTCCGAAATTCCTTTGAAATCGCTATTTTTCTATATGAATTGTTTATTAAGTGGGCGGGGTTTAGAGTTGAGGGGCGGAGCTTCTTCTAAACTTCTTCTCCGATTTTTATTTATCCATCCATCAAGTTAGAGGGGTGACTGCATTCAATTTCAATTCATTCCAATTCATTTTTCACCGGTAAATTAAACCGCTCTTATCTATGTTTTAGGGTAGATAAAAATAAAAAATCACGAAGACCGCCTTTGCAGGCTCCTGGGTTCTGAATCCTAGGAGCTCATGGTAATCGACGCATTACAGTTGAGCTTCTTGGCAGTCGACTGACGTCACAGCCCTAAATACGAGAAATTATAGAGGTGCATGGTAAAATTATGAATAAATGTTACTTTCACTTTTTGCACAGTCATTTTAGTTTTTTTGGGTTGCGTTCAGAGTTGCCTGTGCCAGCGCCATCTCAGAGCCGTGCTAGCGCCGTGCCGGAACTGTGCCGGCAGGACGACCGATCAATACGCATTGCGTCCACGTGGTATCGGGCATGGCACTAGCACGGCGCAGGAACGCCGATGACATAGCGTCTGCACATGGACAACTTTGGACGCAATCCTACCAATTAGAAACCAAATTTGGCAGTTTAATTTTGGGTTTTCTAATTTACGATACTTATTTGTTGCGCTGGGCCAAAAGATGCTCATAATAGCATTTTCAGTGTATGGCCTTATTGAAGCTAAACTTACAGCGTTCCTCCAAAGTACCATTTGCCATCGTCTTTGCAAGTCAGTAATGAAGTGACCGTCTGCCCAGGTGCCGGTCCGGTAATCATGTTAAACTGAAAGGTTTTCTGTGACTTTAGCTTGGTAATTCAGTATGATATAGTGTACCTCCATGAAAGCAGTCAATTCCGGTGACGATGCTGTGCAAACTGCATTCATTTGCTTACAGCCATTTGCATCGTTTGCAAGCGGTCTAAACAGATAACGAGCTGTTTCGTCAGCATTTCCTGCGCCTTGGAGGGATGGTTATGATTCTCTTTTGAATGGTTAAATTTGTAACAAATTTACGGGCAACTCATTGTGAGAATACACTCAACAGCATTTCATTGTTTTTTCTATTACTGCACTGGCTCTCGAAATCCGACCAAAAACCAACAACAAATAATCTTCAAAAAAAGATCAGCTGGTTCCTTAGCAGAGCCTGGCATGAACGGCTTTCCGGAAGCGCAAATAACGAAGTCCCCCTTGATTTTCACAGAAACAGAAATTTACGAAGTCCCTTTTGACCTTTATCCCAAATGACTAAAAACTCCAAAAAAGCCGAAACGTCGAAACTCAATCTTACTTCTATTTTCCGCGCAGAAAAACGATAACCCTCTGATTTTTGTCCCAAAAATGATATCCAGCTTGCTTATAATCCACCTGTGCCCATTCTTGTCCCTTAGTTTATCTTGCACAATTCATCTCTTACTTTTGAAAAGTTTCAAAAGTATTCGAAACAATTTTAACCACATTTCCAAGCTTTTTTCTCTTAGCCATACTCTCCTTGACAGGAAGTTCAATAAGTGAGTACTGTATAAAAACAGTGCAAAAAGAATTAATCGATGGCTTATTCCGGGCTGCCCTCGTTTTCTTCTCCGCTTCAAAAGGAAATCTTTCCGTTTTTATGTCTCATAGAAACATAACATTTTCACTATACGGCTTTCACAAATTCCGCTGCACACCTTTCCCAGTGAAAAAATGAAAATGTTCTGTCAGCCGCATAAAATTTCAACTGCATTCTACTATTCTAGATTTTCCCTTCAGATATTTTTGCCTATTCTTTCCTTCTAATTACAAATAGTGTTATTCTGATAAATACTCACACTTTCATTACGTCTAATTCATAGTCCAACATCTTGACACCAAAAGAGACCGCGCTGTCATCGCATGATGCGCAGGCTAAAAAGGTCCTATACTCAATGTCAACGTGGATTTGAGATTGTAAAGTTACCTTCTGTGGTTCCACCACCAGCTGTTGTCTTACATTTGACAGTAGTAACGGGTCTGAAAAAATTTACATTCGTTTTCTGGGAATGTGATCATAGTAATGATATATTATAGTTTCCGTTTCCGTATCTGAGAATGGAAAGGAGAGCAAAATGTCAAAATGCGCGCTCAATGTGCATATTCTACGCGTAAATGTTGTCGGCACCGCAGGTGCACCATAATGACCCTCATAGTCTACTAGAAATAACTGAGCATTGCGCTGCAAATGTCACCCAATCTTATGTGAAGTCTGTAGGAATAGGGAGTCTTGGGCTTGTTCAAACATTCAAAAGGAAAAATACCATAGATATTACAGACAAATCGAAAAATCTCCTCACAGTGTATCGTAGTACCATTTCTGATCAGCTTTGCAAGTCAGTAGAGCCTTCACTGTCGATGCGTCTTCGTTCGGTCCACCGACGCCATCATTGAACTGTAAGACTATCATGAGCAAAAAAATCCATTTACTTGAGCGATTCATATTCTTGCTATGCTTATATTTAAGTCCTTTTGCCCTTACGGCTATTTTACTGACGAAAACAGAAGGAAGAAGACGGCCATGGAGACACCAAAAATTAAGATTTGGGATCATTGAAAAACTGGCTACAGAACACTTGCGCAGCCTTTTTTAGCCAATTTTTGATCTCACAATCGAGCTTGGAAACTTCGCATGATTATATTTCTTTCATGTGCTAATAGCTCATAACTTTTATTCGGTTGTACTCATAATTTTTGAATTTCTATGAAGCAGTTAGAACAATAGATTTCCTTATTAGAGAACTATTTAGATATTTAGTTGTAAGGGAAATTACCTCTATGAATGCTGTGTCAGTTGCTGTACCGGAATTGCAAACGGCATTCATTTGTTTACAACCATCAGCGTTGTCAGGCAATTCCCTATAAAATTCTTAAACACTGAACTCAAATTCATGTCGGAAAAGATAACGTGCTGAGAAGTATTACATAATCTATTTTCCATAATCCATAATCTATAATCTATTCTAATCTATTTCATTCCGACTTTGTTGACGAAGTCTAATGTACATCTAATGCCAAGAAAGCTGTAGAGTAATGAAATATGAAAAAGTAAATGAAGGACATAGAAGAATGTGTTTCCATATTTCACAAACCATGTGAAGTCGTCAACTCGAAAATCAAATTTTATTTTCACTCATTTTGCCAAAATCTTCAGTTTTACTCCTCAAAAGATCTCCCTTAATGTTTTGAAGAAACACAACCTTCAAAACATCTTTCATATGCATGACCACTTCCCTTATTGTACCACAGGTAATTTTTGCTCACCCCTATCAAGTTGTTGTTTAAGCCTAAATATTCGCAAATTCTAAGTTGTGCAAGTGATAAAATCTTACTCGCTTGTTGCATCCGCCGTAAATTCTCCAGAAGCTGGGAGAAAAGTAACAGTACTCGGGTCGCACGTTCCACATGCTAAAGTTGAAACTTATTCCTTCCTATAGAACTTTCCAGAAACATACTTTCTGTTTCGGATCCTGCCGTCGTAGAACAGTAAACATCCGTAATTGCACTGGAAAACAATTATTCTATCCTAACATCCAATTAGTAAAATTAACCTACAGCGCCGAAGTTCCATCGCTGTAGTACCATTGTTGATCGTCGCGACAAACTAGTGTGGCTGTCACTGTGGGAGCCATCGGAGGTCCAGCGATACTGTTTTGGAACTGAAACGAAAGTGATATCCACGCAAAAGCTTTTGTTCAATTTCGGGGGGTAACTGGAGTGAAACCAATTAGCACAATGTTAAGAGTCTCAAAAAGCTTAGTAATCTCTTTAAAGTGTACTCAACATCTCACAAATTAACTTTCTTGAGTTAATTCCTAGCAAGACATGCTTTCCGGATTAGCTGTGATCAGCAATGCGAAACAACCATTTTTTCAATAATTAAGCTATCTTACGACCAAGTTTGTCAAACAAAGTTTTTAGATTCAGTTAGATGTAGTTGTTTGAGATTTACCCTTCGAACGAGCTTGGCGGCTGGAAAGCGCGCCTTCGAGGCCTAAGGTTAGGGGATGATCAGAGAGCACGCTCGCGAGAGACGCAGACTACGTCGCGGGTGCGAGCGGTCGCCTTTCAGCCTCCATTTCCGTTGTGTCAAAGGGTACTCAGGTACTCTCACACTGACTGACAGTAAAAGCCTCGTAATAAAAAATTTTTGCGCGATTTTGTTTCAAAAACTAGTGAAAAGTTCTGGAGGTTTTGTCTAAAGTCTGTGCGAGTGCATTTCTAAAACTTTCTTAAACTGCCTACCTCCATTAACGCATTGTCGGTTGCCGAGCCAGAGTCGCAAACGGCACTCATTCTCTTACATCCTTGCCCGTCATTCGACAGGGTTCTAAAAATAAATCGTAACGATTTTCTACGAATCGATTTTTCAAAATTCCATGTGAACTAAAATTGCCATACAAAAAAAACCCAGGAGGTAATCCTACTTGTGCCAAAGTTATCTGCAAAAATCTGCCACAATTTGATAAGGCTTTCAGACTTTTTTTAAACTTTTCATGCTCCGCTATTCTTCTCAGTAATCAAAGTACTCCAATCGAATTTCTCACGTTTGCAAAAAATTTCTTTCAGTATTTTTGAAACTAGTGAAGATTATAGGACAGGTTTAAAATCAAGTCAGCATCCCTGATTTATTCGTCTGGGTTCTTGAGGTGGACAATGTTTACACATTTAGCTATGATCCCATCGCTCATAATTTGTGAGAAAGCAATCAAACGTTCACGATTGAGTAGATCAAATCTAGTCCTTTGCGAAGTATTAGGTGGGCTTGAGAAAGCTGTGTTTGTCTACTAATCCTCGATAGAACATGGGGAAGGGTGCAATTTCCAAACCATGGAAGTTCTTTTCTTATCAGTTTGGGCGAATGGGAGGTAATCGTCGGGGGATTGTCAAAAATGTCAAAATATGGTTTTGTTTTCGCGCAAATTAAAAACGAGATTGTGCCATTTGAACACCAAGTTACCATAATCTATTTCATTTAAGAAGAGATTTTCGGATTATCTCTTGTATGTAGAGGAAGTTGTAGAAATATGAAACTCACTCCATGACAGCATCTATGCTAGTGGGATCTGAGTCGCTAGCCGTATGGAACGTTACAGTAGAAGTATCACAGGTACCACAAGCTGCAAATATTCTATTAGAAAGGAGAATGCAAGCACTGTTACAAATCTCATTTTGGAGACAGAAATGAAAAAAGAACGTTTTTACATAGGCAAACCTGTTGTAGACGGCTTTGTTGTACTGCAGTAAACATCAGTGACGGCGCTTAAAATATAGTTTATAGTCGTTTATACTGTCAAAAATGTAAATTAGACTTACAGTGAATCAACTCCATCGCTGTAGTACCACTGTTGATCAGCTTTGCAGACTAATGTTGCAGTCACTGTAGGACCTATAGGTCCCGGTCCCGCTCGATTGTTTTGGAACTGAAGGCAGTAACTTGACAGTACTCAAGTTCAGCGAAGTTGAAACTGTTTATCACCTCCATAAAAGCATTTTCAGTTGGTGAGCCAGATTCGCAAACTGCACTCATGCGACGACATCCTTGTGCATTTTTTGGCAGCGATCTGCAAGCGATCGACTAGATGATATATTTTATATGAGCAAATTTTATTTTCCCCAGCTTAAAAGATGCAATGACTTTTTGGCATGTACGCTCAGCTACGCTTGAGGGTTAAATGTTTCCTCATTATCAATATTGATGTTATTTAGACACTTCAATTTCCATAATTTTCTGTATAACTCCGCATTATAAAATTGTGGTATGAACGCGAATAAGCGCCATTTCTAAGATTTTGCGTCTTTGTACTTTCCAACTACGATAAGAACTCATAAGAACACTTGACTGAATTCTTGTAGTTTTCTATGGATTGGATTAATGTTAGGTCGGTGGATAATATCTGTTAAGCTTGAGCCACAAATAGTTGATTCACATTTCGTTAGCGGTCCAATCGGTAAAACGTCTTTGAGATTTCTCCAGCTTCCATAATAACTGACGCCATTTATGCAAAAAGAAGATTTACGAAGCTTTCTAGATTATCTCAACATTTTTATCACCTCTCATATTGCTAAAGTGAAAAATTCAAAAACGAAAGCTTTGAGTACGCTTGCATTTATCATGAACTTGCTGGTTAGGTGTTAACTCATCGCCTAGATACAAAGAAAATTGGAACTTTCAGGAAGCTTATGAAGTTATGCATAAGCAACAGAAAAGTGTTGAAATTATTGGGCTAGCACAATGAGTATGAAATTTTTTCTGAAAAAGTTGTCAATAGGATTCCGAATAATACGATTGCGCATAAGAAGAATGAGAACTGGGCCCTCAGTTTGGATGCGAAAAAATTTGAGTCCACGTTTGTTGACGCTCTTCCAATTTTAAACTAAGATTTGACGTCAAGCATGAGTTGACAGATGAGTCTTGCAATATTCCTTCAGGTCAACTTCGAAATATTCTCCTATTTTTTGAGCTGTTCCAACTTTTTTACAAATATTTTGATAGTGTATACTAACCTGCTGATGGCGTCCGTTGTAAATTCACCATTTGCGGGATGGAAAAGGACCGAATCGGTTGCGCACATAGCACACGCTGAAAAGGTATATTTTCAAACTCAAAGAATTTTGATTAGCGTCAGCAATGAGGTCTGGCAAAGTTGGTTTTTTCAAACGTAATTCCTGCTTTGAAGGAGATTCATGGTCATCTTATAAGGTCACAAAGCAATCAAGCGCTCTCACCTATAATGGGTGCTGCCGTGGGCGGTGATGTGACTGATGGAGGAAGTACAGCCTAGAACTTTCTTAATGCAGAAGTCAAATTCTAATTATCTCCCAAAAGAAACGCTCAGAAATAATAGCTCACATCATCACTGGGTACTGTTCTAGCGCATCCTTTACAAGTAGCTGCTATTGATACTAGCAGTAGAAGTTGTCGCATTTCTGCCAGACCTAATGCAAAAATCTCTTGAAAGCACCTTATGTAGATCTTTGTCGTCGTAAAGTATCGAAATAGAGGTGAAGCGTCGAAAACTGCGATCTTGCAACAAGCGGCGATTTGAACACGGATCTTTTATGCACTGATAAACTCAGTTTCTACGTCAATTGTTCAGGATTACCCCAGAATCCAAAGTCATATTGCTTCCTGGTTGGATAGATCTTTAAATTCACGACAATGTGACCCACCGATAGGTTGTACATTTTCCGTCATTTCGGCTAAAACAATCCACAGGTAGGTCGTATTTTCGACCGAAAAAGGCTCTTGTCCGAAAAGGCAGCAATCGAAACATTGGCCTTGTCGTGAATGTATCATGTCACTTTGAGTATTGCTAATTTTTCGGTCTCATCTTTCTTGAAACTTCCCCATCCCATGTTGTGGAAACAATAATCAAGTGATATACTTGAACAGGTACATTTGACTTAATTCGAAACTTGTGTAAACTTTTTATTTTGTTCATTTTACTAATATGTTTGAGGTATATCAAGAATAAAAAAAGAACCAACATTTATCAGTCAATAACCAGGAAGAAATTAGTTTTTCAACTGACTATTATACTAACAAGAAAAGGAAGATGGGTCGAAGTGGCCTTTCAGAATGAGATGGATATCATTTTGTAGGGCTTCGAGCGCTGATTTCAAATCTGCCTTCCTTAAGTGCGGATCGTTTTTGAGCGAGAAGTTATGAGGGTTTTTAGGGGGCGGAAGTCGATACAAGTACAATCAAGGACAGCATACCACAGTGTGCCGTCTGGTGTAGTGGTTAGTGTGGCTTGCAGGGAGAGGCTCCCAGGTTCGAATCTCTTACTGTGCTCTTTCTTTTGCTGCTCATACAAAAAATTTGTATGAGCACACGTATCGTCTATACATCAACTCTTCCTTCTTTTAACTGTAAATCTCTTCAAGAAAGTTTTGTTACTCTATGTTTTTGAACGTCTATGTGCACTGATGAAAGGAGAGGACAAAATGTGCAAAACATACGTGCGGGCGGGCAGGCGGGCGTTTCAAAATCTCTCGGATGTGCATCAAGGTAGCTGCTGGCGTACCAGGAATAAGCCAAAAGAACAGGCGAGAATATCTTGTAGGTTAATGAGTTTTTGATTGCGTAGCTTTACGTCCGTTTTTTCAGCTTTACCAACTATGAACGTGGGTCTTTGCATGGTGAGAACAATGTGACCTCTTACGTTCACCGGAGTGTTACGTGACAAATTGATTCTTTTGACATTTCTACCTCCACTTTAAATCACTTGCAAAGACCTTCAAAGAGAGCAGTTGTTGCCTTGAGATTTTGATAAAAGAAACAAGGGGTGGTGTATGGACGCTGTTCATGCTCATATAAATTTTCTGTATGACCAGCAAAACGGAAATCACAACAGGAGATTCGAACCTGGGAGCCTCTGCTTGCAACACCACACTAACCACTACACCAGACCGCACACAGCGGTGTGCTGTCCTTAATTGTACTTGAATCGACTTCCGCCCCTTATAAATTCTCATAACTCCTCACCGGAAAACGCGCCGCAGATAAGGAAGGCAGATTTGAAATCAGCGTTCTAAGCCCTACAAGATGATACCCACCTTATTCTGAAAGGCCACTTCGACCCACCCTTCCCTTATAAGTTTTGCAACCGAGTCCGTAACTTCTCGCTTTTTGATATTGGCGGGCTCAAATTTTAATTTTAACATTGTGTAGTGTTGTGTGAGCAATAGACTGGCACAAGCCACTCGCTTTCTGATGAGAAAATAGAAAAAATCCGAGAGTTCTTGAAATCTGGTGAAATTCGAGGATTTATGGAGTTTTGAATGAAAATGGCCGTTCTCAACCTAGATCATGCATAGAATTCGAAGACAACTCAAGATTTGGCTCCCTCACAAAGTTAAACGAGCCGCGGTACGCAAAGGTGCTTAGGGACAAGCGTCAATCACTAGGAGTCGAAGTCTCAGAATTCGCCAAAACTTTGCGCGATGGGGTTATTTGCCCTGCCGAATATGAATATCATATTCATTCATCAAATTAACACTTTGTTTCTTTAGCGTGCGACCCCATTCGTAAACATACCGTAACCTTGCAAAAAGCTCCTACCATGCAAAACCAACATCGTTTTCGTGATCACCATGTCAGATAACCCATCTACGCCAATTTTGTAATAATCTATATTTTCCCCTCAAACCATATACCTACCGTAACCTTGAATGCAACGTCAGAATTTTGCAGAAATGTGGCTGCACTTGTAAATTACGTCACGACCTACATGATGATAAAATGTGAGTGCGTCTTATGCAAAGTGAGAGAAGTTGTAAAAGTAGTTGCAAAACTTGTTGAACAGCTTAATACTTTTCTCGCGAACCTGACACACTTAATTTTGTCTGTGTGACTGGAGATAAAGGTGCAGTTACCGTTCTGCAATCTGACATCGCCGTAAGGGTTACGGCAGGGAAATGGTATAAGAAAGAAATTTTGATCATTACGGATTTGTCTGAAACTTGGCATAAGGGGGTTATCCGATGTGCTGATTACGGGAACGATACCGAATTGATGGATCTAAGTTAACGGGTCTCATCCTAAACACGAAAATAAACATTAATCCAACAAATGAATAAAATTTCCGTATCTATCAGGTCAAATATCCTACTACACAGAGTCTCTGCTAATTCTCAGATTCTCCGACTACCAAAATTATTCACAGTTGTCTAACACGCATTGAGTAAGCGACCGGTTCATTTGTGAGGGCGCAGGATTTCGAATCATCTTTAGATTCCATTTCTTTTTGAGTGAGCTAAATCAGCCAATTTCTGAAAGAAGTTCATGTACACTTTTGGAATCGATATGCATAGTATAGGTTGCAAACGCCTTCATTCAACTCATATCCCCCCTAAATTCTCGAATTTCTTCACTTTTCAAGGATACTCGTGTCTCCTCCATTTTATCATCAAAAAGCAATCGCCTTATCCAGTTTGTAACTTACCCCAAACAATATCAAAAAATGAGTGCGCAGTACAGTAGGTGCGCTAAATCTTCGACAGAAAACGAAAAACACGAGAAATTGCGTGTTTTTCGTGTTTTCTTCAAACATGAAGTATGGAACAGCTTTATATATCAGTCGCACTGTCTTCGAGAGAGCTATCTCATGTTGCTAATATCGCGCAGATTGTTCCAGACCGCGGAAAGTTGGCGCGAAAATTACCTGCGACGCCTCCGCCAGCGACTCTGCGCTAACTGCCCCTAATGGCAAAGTGGGCTTCACCGATCTTTAACAGTATCGAAATGAAATTCAGATAAGTCTATGTAGCGATATCGTGCTCGGAGTGCAATGACAATTATTTTGATACCAAATATCATAGAATTATGTGAAAATCATTCGAAGGAATGGGAAGATATCAAGATGCGAAAAATTACGAAATTGATTGCAAAAGTTAGTCGACAATCTAATAAGACTTTATTTGATGAGATATTAACTAGAATATAACTCATGCTGATGGATCAGATTCAATATGATATGCGACTTTTTTTTATTTACAATATCGATAGTCACAGAATTCTAGAAAGGAAACTTTCCAAAAATATGTTAAGCAACCATTTTAGCATTTAGTGGCTTCGTTGATCAAATGAGACAAGGCAAGCATAAAGCTCAGAAAAGGGAAATAAAGAGTTACTCCTTGTTCTCATCACAGATTCGAAATCAAAAAGTTTTCATTGCCTCCTCGAACAATTGGTCCAACTTCAATTATATTAGAGAGCTTATGAAGGTAAATTTAAAAGTAATTTTCAAAGCGACGAGCTATACTTGTTTTAAAAAAATCACTCCTCCATTTTCATTTTTTAAGTGTCAAGGAAAACAGAATACAGAAGTAACTTTTCAAAAATCATAGCTGTGATTGAGACTTTCATTTCAAGATCAAATGAAAGTCTGTAAGTAAGCATGAGTGTGTAGAAAGACAAATAAGATGCAAAACCTTTTCAAGAAAAAAAGAATCATCTGTATAAAGGTGTGAAATGACCAATTCGCCGAAATGTCTCGTGACAGCTGGACTTGCAGTTCTGATCCATCTTGAAACAAATAGATGTCGAAAGGAAAAGGATGCAGTGAAAGCACTTTTATATAGCTTTCATATCTCTCTCGAATCTCGCCGAACTCCTCGGGTATAAGCCTCAAAGAACCTGATTTTCTTATACGATCGCCGTCACCAAATCGTCTGCGCTAATTGCCAGGTCACAAAGATCAGTCTGCACCTTCTCGAACTTCCCTATTTTCGAAAACACAAGAGATTTATAAATCTGTTCGTTCTTTCTCTCACTGTCATAAGTGGTTCGCTAGCATGGATGGATTTTCCGTAGTGAACACAAAAAGCGTGAACATTTGAGGCGCGCGGCTTTTCGCAACCCCCATAAAACACTCCCGGTGACAATATCTGTCGAGAAGTCTCTTTCTTTTTATAGCTTTGGGACGATCAGAGATCGCGACGCACCCTGTGCTTTCTGAAACGAACAAATTGAATTTGTTTTTTTGTTCGAAAAGAGAAAAAGCTAGTCCTGCCTTCTTTATAATCCATGGCTTAAACACTGAGTTGGATTACTTTGGGGTCTTTCGAGAAAAACTTCCAATTTAGTCTTCTAATTCTACTATAAAGTCCTGCCAAAAGAGAGTCTCGGAAAAATTTAAAGCTCAAATTACCTGAGACTTATGACCGAAAGTAATTTGATGTCTCACCAGCTCTCGCATAAACCATTGCCTAATGTTCTAACCTTGTAACAGACTCCAGGACCAGACCACTGCCACTGACCTTTGCTAGAACTGAAGACATCTGAGTACTCAGCCTCTTTTCTTGGCTTCTTTTTGCTCCTTTTATGATCTTTCGCATAATTGGCTCCACTAGAGTATAAGGCACTGCTAGATGTTTTACTAGATTGAACCGAAAGTTCTCTCGCTTTGATTTTGAAAAATT